GATGGTTCTCCTGTGCCCTGTTTTGATGGTTCTCCTGTGCCCTGTTTTGATGGTTCTCCTGTGCCCTGTTTTGATGGTTCTCCTGTGCCCTGTTTTGATGGTTCTCCTGTGCCCTGTCAGCTGTCACTGGAGTAAAATGCTTAAATGTTTTTTGTAGCAGGGCGCTGCTGTGTCAGATGTGGAAATGTTTAACCAAAAGGAGAGGTGTTCACGCACCCAGACCCCAAAAATAAAGGGAGGAGGCTCAGACAAGGTTATTTATGATTGTGTCCTCCTCAGAAGTGGGATAGTAAGTGTTTTTGTGGTCAGGTCAGTGAACCGGAAGGTTCTGTCTGCACACAGCCATGTGGGTTATGTCTGGTTCTGGTTTCAAAGCTCCCTCGTGGATAGCGTCACGGTACCATCATGTGGTCCCAGCAGGAGGTGTGGGATCTCCGGATTCTGCTTAGGCTGGGCCTAGCTGAGTGACCTCTGACCCCGGCGTGTAACAGTCTGCCGAGCATGCTTCCACGTCACCACCTCAGCGATGGATTGGCAGGAGGAGGGGGAGGTCTGGCTCCAATTTCCCTCTTCTGCAGAAACCAACACTTGTATTTTTTGATGGCACCAGCCAACCAGACCTATAAAAGCCAGGATATGTGAGCCGGTTAGGAGCCATGTGACTTGAGTCTCGGTGGAATGATGCCTGAAAGTCCCTGAGCAGGGACCCCGATCCGTGTGGTGCTGCCTTCCGGCTCGGAGGCCTCCGGGAGCCCGGGGTTGCCGTCAGGTCCCCAGCCGCATCTCACTGGTTATTGGACCCGTGACCCATGACCTTCCTGGCTGCCCTTTGACCAATTAGACGGCAGCTACTGGAAGCCCCCGCTGGCTGGGCTTCAGCTGTCCGCACGCTCAGACACCAGGATCGGATACCATCTTCAAAGCCGGCAGCCTATAAACCTCTCCGGTCACGTTTCACAATGACTGTCCAGCATAAGTTTGAAATTATGCAAATGCAGATTTAACATTCTGTTAATATTCATTTGCGTACACAAATTAAAGTTTGTCTTACGTTTACCGCATTTTGTTTTTAATGATAACCGCAGGTTTCAGCCTATACTATAGCACAAAACAACACTAAATCATACCTATTAATTGATAGTCTCCCTGCACTTCATGTAGAAAATTTGAAACCTCGTTTTTCATGATATGGTTAGATATTTTTGTCCGGCGCTTCAAAACGTCGTCACGCGTCACCATGT